GTGCTGGGATCATGGGACCCTAACAATAATAAATTTATGCACCAGTTATGCAGCCGGAAATATGGGGACCTGATGCGAAAATTGTGTGTCAGTGGGCTTTAACATCGTCTTTCGAATGGCCCCCCTGGCCGAAATAACAGACATTGGTCTAAAGATAGCACGGAGTAAGCTGGCCCCGTGGCAAAGGATTGACGCCCTCAAGACATTCTTCTACCCATCTACCGTCCACATGCAACGCATGGGAACTCTTTCGAAATCCGACTGGATCACGATATATCGGATTCTCCGGCCAGAATTAAAAAAGACCTTCTATTTTCCGCAGGAGGCCTCCGGAGAATTATTATAAATAATAATATAATTAATTAATAAATTATAATACACGATGAGCGCCGATAAGCGTCGACGACAGCGCTATACATATACAGAGTGAACGTTTCTGTAAAGGTCAGTGTGACGTTGTATATGCTAGCCTCTTCGCGTTTACAGTACATATCTACGGTACAAATTTGTTTTTTATATTAATTTGTTTTTATACTAGTACATTACTAAAATGGAACCTTTAAATCCAAATGATGATTCACCTATTGAAAAAAATCCTTGTGGACAAGTAAGCATAACAAATATTTTTATAATTTAAAGTAATTATTAATAATATACATTTTGATGTAGGTGAATAAATAATTATTTAAATTATTCATTTACATAATTCTTTATTTTTAACATTTAAACATCTCATTCAGTCGTTATAAATTACATTAATATATTTAAAAAAACATATTTAACAAACTGGTATTGGCCAACGAACTGTTACAATGACTTTGTCTGATTACAAAAGAAAAGGAACTGTGTTATCTCCGAATAAAAAAAAAATTAGACAGACAATACTCGAAAAAGTTGATGATTTCGATAAAAACACGATCCCACTTAAAATTCATCAGTTTTGGCTTAGAACAGAAATACTGACTTTAAATAAAATTTAAAAGTAGTAAACGAAGATTCCAGTTTGCCCATATTTTCTAATACGTCTTTTCGAAGAATTTTGAAAGACCTTAATTTTGAGTACACGAAGAAATCTCGCAACAGCGCTTTAATTGAAAGAGAAGAGTGTTGTGGCGACGAAAATATTTGGAGTCAATAAATAAGACATTACCGGCAACAAAATCGTTCTATTTAATTATTTGGACGAGACTTGGATGAATGCTGGAAAGACAACAAACAAAACATGGGTCGATCAAACAGTAGCATCTCACAGAAACGCATTCCTTAAGGGGCTGACCACTGGACAAAAGAGCTTGTCAGGTAATGGCAAGAGGCTCATTGTGGTACATATTGGTTCGTCTGAAGGTTTCGTTCCAAGTGGCCTATTAGTTTTTGAATCGAAGAAAAATTCATCAGATTACCACGATGAAATGAATGGTTATACTTTTTTTTATAAATAATACTATAACATAATGTAATATAATATTATATATACATTTTATATATTATTATATAATATAGTAATACTTTTTTTTATTTAATACGTGATACTTTTCATGATTTTTTCACGAACATATTACCTTTATTAAAATATAACGCAGTGATTGTTATGGATAATGCGTCTTACCATTCCGTAAAAAAATATCCATGTCCGATGATGTCGTGGAAAAAACAAAATATTATTGACTAGTTGCAGGCAAAAGAAGAAATAATAGATCGACCTTTAGTCAAACAACAACTCTTAGAAAGGGTAAATAAACTAAAACCTCTTTATGATCAATACGTTATAGACGAAGAAGCCGGAGAAAACAATAAAATAATACTGCGATTGACCCCGTATCATTGCGAGTTCAATCCAATTGAGCTCGCGTGGTCCACCGTAAAAAATTACGTTAAAATGAATAACACGACATACAAACTGACGGACGTGCAAAAATTGTTGAATGAGGGTATTGAACACGTTACACCCAGTATGTGGAACAATTTTGTCAACCATGTCATAAAAGAGGAAGACAAATTTTGGGAGGTCGACTTCATATCAAATGAACTTTTGGAGGTGAACTTGTAGAGGAAACGTCACACGTCTTAACCATTACTGGGTTAACTTCTTCTGAATCTGATAGCGATGATGACTATGACGAATAAAATATTGGTATGTTTTATATTGTATTTATTGGATTTAAATATTTTTTCAGCCAATTGTCTTTTTAATTTTTTTGTTTTATTTATCTGATTATTATTATTATTATTAATGTATTATTATGATTTTTATATTCTTGTTACTTGTATAATACCATTAAAACAAGTAATTTTTACCGAAAAAATTCATATATATTTTTATTTGACAAACGGCCTTAATCATCATTATGTAGCAACGGAGATAGCGTGATGGCGGCGGCATTAGTATATAGACGTTGAATAATTTTCACACGAATCATTCTGTAAACACAATTTCCACAGTTAATAAAATCATCAAAACGATTATAATGATCGTCTGGTAGGGAAAAAGTAGACTCAAGATAAGAAAACAGGCCATTGATGATGAACGACGGAGGTGCTGTCTCTCGTGGCGCGGAGTATAATAAACCGTCTCCGTGCATGATTATACTACAAATGAGATACGAGTGAAAAAACGGGCTTTATATAGCGACGAAAGTGTCGAACCCGTGACTATATCGACCGTTTTCGCGATCGCTATCTTTACTAATCACAACAAACTCGAATCTCCCTTTATACCAACAAGCCGTACAAAATTGCTTAATTCGACATAAGAATAACGCTAGAGCAATGATCGTAATATACGTGCTTTAAATTGGTTTCGTCTTGTTTAAATAAGATAATTAAATTATTGTTGTCTGATGTTTAATTCGGTGAAGTGGACTGTATAAACTATAATGTATTATTACGGTTAGTTATTAGGTGGGCACTTACGGTGGAAATTAAGCGAACACGATCTATTATTCTGTAATGCCGGAAAAAAACGGCGTACTATTAAAAATGTAAACGAAATATATACAAGTAACAAATATAGGGGGCACAAAAGGTGCTGGCCAGCTAGTGGGTAAAATGACTTAAGAATATAAATAAATTAAGTAACAAAACAAAAATAAAACGTTATAAAACCGTGGTGGCGACAGCACGCAACCCCGGAACGGTTAACGGTAGACGGNTGCCGGAAAAAACGGCGTACTATTAAAAATGTAAACAAAATATATACAAGTAACAAATATAGGGGGCACAAAAGGTGCTGACCAGCTAGTGGATAAAATGACTTAAGAATACAAATAAATTAAGTAACAAAAAAAAAAAACGTTATAAAAACCGTGGTGGCGACAGCAAGCAATCCCGGAACGGTTAACGGTAGACGGTGGTCTGTATATGGTTGACGGTTGACGGTGAACGGGAGACGATGTACGGTACGGTGAACGACGCGCGTCGAACGTAGGTAGTAAAACCGGTCGTAGCTACGTCGGTGGCCTGTGTTTAGCTTATCGCGCGAACAGCTGGACAGATGCGACTGAACATTGTCTCTTAATTAATTTTTGGGTATACTGGAAAACGATTGCGCCAAGTAGCACACGTCTATTTTGTCGTGTTGTCCTCGAGAAAAATTTGAACGTACGATATTTTGGTTTTCACTTATTATGTCGTTGAAAACAAATACCGAGTTTGGCAGCGCTTTTTCAGACGAGATAACTTTATCACTATTTTAAAACGTGAATAATTTAATTTCGTCTTTATTTTTTAAAATATCACATAACATTCGATATTTTGGTTGATCTAATGTTTTCGAATATATATAAATGTTATAGAACCGTATCCCGTTCATATTGGTAAGTAACGCATAAATCAAATTGGTTTTACAGTACCCGGTTAGTCCAACGACTAGTATTAAACATTTTGGCGGATCAACGTTATCAATTGTAAGTAATACATTATTATATTACTTCGTGTTCTATAAACTTTCGTATAAATATTCGTACAATGTGAAAAATCCAATCATAACGCAATGTCACCTGCTCGAAGATGGAACAAGAATAAAGGCTGCGGACTCATCAACACTTTTATATATTACCGATCGAACTTCATTTGCCGAGCTACCAATATTGCGGATCGGGTACCGATTTGAAAAAACGTATAGCTTGAGGTGACGCGGGTATAAGCTCGCTGGACTCTGCGCCATTCTTCAAAAAACAACAATATCTCGTTGCTAACATCTATTCCCTGCCGATTGTGATTATAATTGCTGCAGCACTGTGTCCAAAGACGGATGTGATGTGACGGACAGAGACGTAATCGGCACCGGGCTGGTTGTTGGAAAGTCATTGTTCACCGTATCAACTCTAATCCAACCTAGGTATATGTCCAACTTCGAGGGCAGCCAGCTTGTCTATGTGACCTGTGAATGAGGGCGAACTAAATAAGGAAATACATCATAACCGATAAGCTGTCGATACGAAAGGGTTAATCGAACGATCCGTCAACTACAGATGATGATATTGCCTACGCACGCTTTTTGGTGAGAATTTAGTGGGCATAAGCGAGGTGATGTGCTCGAGGACCAACAGCTCCCCACAAAAGAAAACTGATGAACAGATGTGAAATAGTACGAAAGTACATTCTGTTCATTCCTTAACCTACGTGATCGGATTTTGACTCGAGTACCTTCTTCCGTATAACTAAATCTAATTAATTTCGGGTTAATTTCGAATTTTTTGATAAGTGATTTAGAGATAATATTATAATCTATTTTCACATAATACCCATAGCTCATAAGCTTATGTCTATGGGTCGTAACAGTTTTACCAGTCTGTCGATATTTTAACGGTTTCAAAATACATTCGAAATCGGCGTATACTACTATTAGTATACATTACGTTCGTTCGTTTAAAATGTATGAACTCTATAAATGGAAAGTCTCCTTCCTCAAACATAACAGGTCTAACTAATTTATGTTTGCCGCATCCCTCTTTATGTTTTTCAGTCCATCTATCCCCCTAACCTATTTTTACATTCTTTATCACTAAATGTAGAAAAGTAACGTTTACATATAATTAATTTAGAACAATGCTTTGTTTTCTGACTGCCAACGAATCTTAAAAAATGTTGAATATATTAATAATGCATTTTCCTGCCATTATCAATTAATAATAAATCAAAATTATTTTATTTTTCGTTTTCATTTAAATGTATAGGGCAAATTAAATTTGTATCATCTAAACCGAAAATGTTTACTGAAACGTCATTATGTGCCGTATGATAGATCATTTTTACACTTTCTTCCTTTATTTCTTGGTCGACATTTAGAATGATTTTAAAATGTGCTTGAAATTTCTGAATGATACCTTCTTCATCCGTTCTCAGGTTTCCATCGTGGTCCTTGGCCATGCGAGTTTGGACTTTAAAATTTTTCTTTATCAATCTGCATTTTTTGAAGAACAACCTTGGATTGAGCCTATGTTCTTCTATTTTTTGAATAAGTCATTTTTTCCTGCATTAATATTTTTCCTGCAGCTTTTTTTGTTTTTAATAAATTCTTCTATATTGTCAGGAGATGGGTCTTCTTATCATTTTTAATCTTGCTTCTGTGCGTTTTTCTATGGCTTCCTTGCACCGTTCATTGAAACATGAATTCTTACCATTGAATGCATTTTCTTTTTTAAATACCTTTGCTGATTTGTTTCTTGAGTCTTTAACTATGTTCCAGGTTTCTTCAAGGTTTTTCTTTTGAATTGCTTTATAGTTCATTATTTAGTTTTCCTCGGTTTGCTTTCACTCTCTCTTGATCCTTATTTTTCTTTTTCTAGACGGATTCTACCTTTTAGTTTTTTTTGCTTCCAACTAACAGCCAGCTTGATTTTAAATGATGCTATGACCAGGTAGTGTATGTGTCTCCATTAGCTCCACAGTACCTTCTAACTTGTCTAACACTAGATCTTTATATCTTATCTATAAATACATGATCAATTTGGCTCTTAATTCTTCCATCTGGAGATACCCAAGTTTGTACTGTTATGAATCCCTGGTATTTTAGTTAGGTTTAAGGACCAATGGTCAGTATTAAGAATATTGTGTAAATGATAGTTTATATATATTGTACAGGCAAAAAGGAATGCGCTGGGTTAACCCTTTTTGCCTATCCGGCTATTCGTACGACAGCAGTCGGGATATAGCAGAGCATTCGGCCGAACCTTCGTAATCTATTTTTTTCTATTTGTAATAACAGTTAATTTCTTAAATTTAAATTATAGTAAAAATATTATTCAATAATTCATGAGTGTTCACTTAATTTATTTATTTGTTGTCAACTGTCAAATAAGTCTATAACATTTTTGGTGGCAGCGGTGGGATTCGAACTCACGCCTCCAAGGAGATTAGTGAAATAACGGGTAACATAAATATTATTTCTTTATAAAATAAACACGAACAAGACGACTTTGGACGGACAAACACAAATTAGGTGCCTTCAGCAAATTCTTGTACGGGTGTCGTTGAGTTCACCACCGTACCCCGGTAACCACCGCCGTTATCGTCACCGCCGTCAATTTCGAATATACGCCGTGATGAGTGAGCCACCGTCGTAACACAAAAAAAAAAAATCACAGCGGTGACGTAGCATTTCCTGTGTAGCGTACGAGCCGCCGCGGCAACAATGTTCATAGTGCTGACCAAAACGACCGGTTATCAAATTATTAATAAAATACAAGAAATAATTGCTCCGTTGTTGTTCCTTTTAGTTAATAATTTTGGAACGTAGTCTTCGTGCCAGCTGTTCCAAAGCGGGCAAACGTCGTACATCCACTAGATATCCAGACCATCCGCAGAGTATCCAGATCAGTCATTCTCAAAGTGGGCGATAGCGCCCCCTAGTGGGCGTTGGTGGACTTCAGGGGGGTGGTAGGATGCCCGAAGGAATTTTGGCGGCGTTGAGTTGGGTTTAGGGGGCGATACAAAAAAATATATATATAAATAAATATATTATATTAAAAAAAGTCTCATTTATATATTTATACATATTAATATAATATGTAATATAGTAAATCTATATTTATTAAAGCAAAATACTACACATTCACTGATCGCGGATTAACTTATAATATGACACCAATACGTAATGTGCGATGCGGCGGCCCACGGGTTTCCAGCTATTGTCGTGTAGATATAAAAAGTTCCTAAAAGTTTCGTCGATGTTGTCGTCCGTATTTAATGATCATTAGCATTATCGTAACGATGACAATAGCCGATAACTTAGTATTTATAGTTTATAATATTATATTGCGTCCAATTTACGATGTATACTCAGGCTTTAGAATACGATTTGGTGTCGAACCGTGCCGACCGCGTTTTGATTTTGTTTTTATTAGTCATTTTGTGCACATATAAAATATCTACATATTTATGAAGTGAAAACTATGTCGGAAGCAAAAATGAAAAAATGACAATACAGTACGAAATACATAAAATACGGATTTATTCAAAGTCGGACAAATCCATCATCGCCAATGTGCCTCATATGTCAAAAAACATTTTCAAATGAAGCAATGAAGCTTTCTTGACTACTCGATCATTTTAATAAAATGCATTTAGATATGAAAGACAAAGATGTGACTTACTTTCAAAATATGGAAAAAAAGTACGTAGCTCACAACCTACTTTATCAACACTTTTTTCTGCGGTTTCTAAACAAGTCAATGATGGTGCGTCATACAATATATCATTGTTAATTGCTAAAACAGGCAAACCACATACCATTGGGGAAGACTTAATTTTACCAGCAATAAAAAAAGTGATAACAACTGTGCTCCATAAACCAGCGGCAGATATTAACCGAAAAATTCTTTTGAGCAATAGTTCTGTACAAAGACGAATTGATGAGATGGCTGAAAATATTGAAAATCATTGTGCAATCATTTGAAGACTTGTCAATTTTCAATTCAGTTGGATGAGTCCACTTTACCAACTAATGAAGCATTATTGTTATCATACGTGAGGTTTATAAAAAATGAGAAAACATGTCAAGAACTATTATTTGCGAGATAATTTAGAGACAAATACAAAAGGATAAACCATATTTAATACACTGGAAAAGTTTTGTGATGAAAAACAAATCCCTCTGAAGAATTGCTACTGATGGTGCCCCAGCTATGACAGGGCGTCACGAAGGGTTCATAGCGTATTTAAAAAATAAAGTACCAGACGTGCTTGCTGTACATTGCGTCATTCATCACCAGCATTTAGTTGCAAAAAATCCGAGTGAACGCCTGCATACATCATTGCATTATGTTATTAGAGCAGTTAATAAAATCAGAAGCAACTCACTAAATGACAGATTATTTAGTCAACNATCGATTGCTGCTTCACACAGAAGTGCGCTGGCTGTCAAAAGGTACTTGTCTGACTCGATTTTACAATCTGTTTGACTCTGTGATAGAGTTCCTGAAAAACAAAGACACAGGACTTCGCGATAACCTCACCACATCAAAGAATGATATTTCGTACTTGACAGACCTCTACAAGTTATTTAATTATGTCAATCTCTAACTTCAAGGTGACAACTTTAACTTGATTAAAACAAAAATTGTAATTTCTACATTCGATGCCAAACTGTTATTATATAAGAAAAATATTGGTAGACGTGAATTTAATAACTTTCCTAATTTAGCAGCAGCATCTTTTATCACCGATGATTTGGTTGTTTACTGTCAACACTTGGAGAACCTCCACAATGATTTCAAAGAACGATTCCAGGACATTTTAAATATGGACATACCAGACTGGGTATCAGATCCTTTTTCACATGTCAACAAGCAGAATCATCCCAGTTAGAAGAACAACGTTTAGAATTAACCACAAATGAGGAAATCAAATTCAAATTTAAGAATGGTATTCAAGAATTTTCGCTGCAAAAGCCAATCATGAAACTGTTCACTAGCTTATGGTCGATTGTTCAACGATTTCTGATAGCATTCCCATCATCGTATTTGTCTGAACGTGGATTCAGTGCTGTAGTAACACTGCTAATAAGAAAAAGAAATCGGTTGCTTGTTACTGAACGCGGTGATTCACGGCTGTTTTTAGTCAATTTGAACCAGATATTAACAAACTCGTTAATGCGCATCAAGTTCATCCATCACATTAAGTAAATATTAAATTTTGAATTCATAACTTTTTTTATAGCATGATTTAAATAAAAATACTTTTAAGTATCAATAAGTATGCGTATTAATTACTGTCATCCAAAAAACTAATTTAAAATTTATGTTAGAACTCAGAAATAAGATATAGCATATTTATATATTATAAATTGTAATATCTGTTTTTAAAAGACATAACAGATGGTAAGAAGTTAAAATATTTTTATTTTTTTTTTTTTGGGGGGGGGCGCTAGAAATTTTTAGATTTTCAAAGTGGGCAGTGGATTAAATAAGTTTGAGAACCTATGATCCTGATCATCCATAGGATATCCAGACCATCTACAGAGTATCTCGACAATTGATCCAGTACCCCGGAGGAACACTACTAACACTATCGTTATTATTAAGGCAAGTGTAGTCGTGTGAGTATTTATATATATATTTTTTTTATTTAAACAAAATACGAGGTACGTCCAGAAAGTAAGTTCCGTTTTCTACTTTTATCGCGTTTGCGATGTTATCTTAATTACGGTCATATCCGATTATTTCATTTACTTATTTGGAACATTTTAAAACCGTTCCGTGACTAGTTAGTGTACGTAGGTCACGTGGCAAGTGTTTTAAAATGGATAAACGAATAGAAAATTCCGCCACATGTGAGTTACGATCTGTGATTCGTTTTTTAAATGCAAAGAATATCAAACCAGTTGATATCCATCGTCAAATTTGTGAAGTTTATGGAGATAATGCGATGAGTGATTCAATGGTTAAGAGATGAGTGCGACTTTTCAATGAAGGTCGTACAAATGTTCACGATGAAGAACGACTGGGTGACCATCTTTGGCCCGCACACAGCAAATGTGACGAAACAACTTCTTGCAGATTTTGCATGGGAACAATTTAATCATCCGCCCTACAGTCTAGATTTGGCACCCAGTGATTTTCATCTTTTTTTTGTATACACATAGTTAATGAGTGACACGGACGGAGAGTGGTGATAGGTCTAGCTCTCTAAAACTTTCAGTAAGAACATCTGTACTTCCGACTTCCCGTGTTAGTCTCCCAGTTAGATTCACAAATCCAGATTATCCTGCTTCCGAGAGTCCTATAGCTTTATTGTCCACCAAGACTACTAAATTGTTAAGCTCTAACGAAAACCTCCTATACACCGTAGGTAACGTTTTAATTAACGTAGAACGCTAGAACGATAGAACGCTCGAAATAACTACCAACTCAATGGTAGACACTAATCTTTTGAATCAGACCATTTGCACTAATAACACCGAGGACAATGGAACAACATTAGAATCTAATACGTCATGGGGAAAATCTTCCTATTCATCAATCAAACTTTTTGATCCTACTACGTATATCAATCATTTTTCGTATTTAGATACAAAAAATGTTTATGTAATGTTTAACATACTTCTTATATTTTTATAAATTACCTGTAAACGTTTGTTCATAGCAATAGGGCTTCTGTCTTGCTATGCTGTGTAATTCATCAAACTAATTTGTTCCAATATCCAATCATCCATCTTTATTATTACTCGTTCGGTTAGTTGATCGATTGCAAACAGGCGTATTTGACTTAGAAAAAAAAGCCCTTCTTTCTTCGGCAATAGTTTGGAAATTTTACCATCATCAGAATCTTTTGATACTTTTGCTTTTACCGTTTCATGTATTTGTACATAATCGCAAACAACATAGTGATCCTTAAGCTTATTGGTTATAAGTTCGAGTTGCTTGAACAAAGAAAATCGTATCGTCGTAAACTTTCTCTCCACCACCTTTGTAATACAAGGTGCGCAGAAAGAACTCCGTAGTTTTATAAGGTTTTAGTTTGGGTTTGGGTGGAGGTACATTAGTAATTTTTACATCGACAGAAAGTCTTATCGATGCCATTTATAGCATTCAACATGGCTTAGTCGGGAGAGCAATGTGCGTTTGTTATCGAGGAATTTATTAATAATGGCGGTTCACCGATAACGACCCAGCATGCGTTTCGTATTCGATTTGTGCTTAATCGACGTGATCCCGTTCCCGATATCAAAACCATACATAATTGGGTATCAAATTTTAGGCAAACAAGTTCTGCAATAAAATAAAAATCGACGGGCCGACCTCGGACTGCAACAGGTCCAGAAAATGTGGCTACTGTAACAGTGACCTCTAATCGCTATTGTGAGATGCTTGAACATTTTCTTCGGCCAAAATTGAACGATTTTTTTCATGAAAATGGACAACGAAATGTGTGGTTTCAACAAGATGGTGCATCAGTACATACAGCTCGTCGTTCACTTGGTATTCTGCGAGAAATGTTTCCTGGGCATATTGTCTCCTCGTGAGGTGACATTGGGTGGCCGCCACGTTCACCAGATTTACAAACCTATAATATCGACAAAAAAAATGAAAAAAGTAGAGAATTATTAAAAATTACAGATGGGGATATAAGACCAAATTAATTTCAAAAAATGCGTGTGAAGTTGGCTGCACAAGTATATTTAGTCATACAATGTCGTCAACTATACGAACTTGTATTTCTACAAAAGAATTAAAAAATGAATCTGCAAATAATACAGCAGATTTCGTCGAACTTTAGATAAGACAATCAAAAAGTTTAACAGTATAGCAGTAATCCATATAGTGTATTAACAGGTAATGGGTAGAGTACGATTGCGTACACTGCTTATCGGAGGTATCTTTTTCAACCTTTTTCCTAACACGATTGCATACGTTATTTTTATGCAACGTTGTCACGCTGGGACATCACAGACGAAACTGGAAACGATATTAAATTTAAAATAAAATTTCACATGACTTATTATCAAGTAGATTAAAGGAGATATATAAACTGCAGATTAGTTGACCGACGACCGTTCAGATCGAGTGTAGTTTGCGTTGAATTGTGTAGTTTTTATCACAAGATCGTAAGTAATCTCAAATGGAAAACACCCTGAAACTAATCTCGAGGTTTAATCTCAAATGGACACGTAGCTTAACATATATACCTAAATGTGAATGATTTTATTTTCTCTATTATGTAATTAACTATTAATGTACAATACTTATCTATTATCTACTTTGTTAAACTATTATAATCTTATATTGTAACTGGGCAACAGCCCATCTAAAATAAAAAATAAATAAATAAGGATCAAATGGTTTAAAAATTAAGTGTCTCAATTCCAAAAAAAAAAATGTTGGCCCTTATAGCATGGAACAACCTACTGTGAATATTATTATTTTTTTATTATTATTAAAGCATCTCCTTATAGATCACATTGGTTGTTCTTCCGTTTGGGGCAAGACTGACAAAGCTGATAGGTGAACTATCTCTGAAGCATGCCACATAGAATTGCCCATGTGAAAAGCAGTCATCACTTAAGTCAATTCCTACTATCTTTAACATATCTTTTGTGTATAAGTTTTACAATTAAGTGATCAATTTAGTTAACAGCATGAAAAGTCTATGTACCATGAGGCTATGTACCACCTATCCGAATGGAATAGGATGATAGGCACGCTATGAATAAGATAAAGCAGATATGTACCCACGTCATTTAGAACGTATATTTCAACCAAACGAAGTAGTTTCCGAACTTGACATAGCTCAGTGTCAACCACTAAATGAAACACACGATAAGATAAAGCATTTTACTCCAGTTGAAATTGCAAAAGAAATAGATATTAATATCAACTCAAAAAATGCACGTGGATTAACATAAAAATCCTGAAAGAGTTATCTAAAAAAGCTTTGATTTATCTAACACACATATTTAATGCCATCGTAATGCTACGTACGGAATACTTTCCTAAACAATGGGAACGAGCCCAAGTGATCATGGTATTTAAACCAGGAAAACTACCAGAACAAGTAACTTCATGTAGACCAATTTCACTTCTTCCAAGCATCTCAAAATTATTCGAAAAACTACTTCTAAAACGCTTAAAACCGTTGATAGAAGAATAGATGAAATGTCGAAGATTAAAATTAACAGTGTAAAATCGGTGCACATTAATTACACCTTGCGTAAAACCGTCTATAAACCGGTATTACTAGATCCGCAAAATATCAGCAAAATATTTAGGAATGCGCCTGGACTTTCAGCTCAACTGGAAGCACCACGTTAGACAGAAAAAACTGCAAATTAAGAAGAAAATGCGACAACTATATTGACTGGTCGAAAAACATTCCGAACTAGAGCTCACAAGCAAACACAGTTTATACGTAATGATAATTAAACCAATATGGACTTATGGAATTCAACTGTGGGGTTGTGCCAGCAAGTCCAATATTGAGATTATACAAGGTTGTCAGAACATCGCTTTCCGTACCATTGTTGCAGCTTACCGGTATGACAGAAACGACATTATCCACCGAGATATGATGATCACCTTCGTCCAGGACGAGATTATCAAGTTTGCCCATAAACATGAGGAAAGACTGCATCAACACACCAATCTAGCAGCAATTCAACTACTAGACAACTCTCTAGACATTAGGCGACTCAAACGTCGAAGACCATATGACTTAGTAAAAGACTCTTAGACTAAGATCGGGGCCACTTCACCGGGAGTGAGATTCCACACATGTTTATTTTTTTGTATATACATACATCACAAATATTTATGTACACCTTCGATAATGTATTGTTAAAGATTTATTTTAATCGTTACAAAAAAAGCTTTCGGGCGGTTTAAAAAAAAAAAATTTAATTAACGCCGTTTTGTATGAACTCGCGCAGTTTGTATTTCGTGTACTGCACGAAAATAAAAAATCGAATTTAATGTGCTAAAAAGCTGATGTTGACGACCAAACGGTTTTCAAGGCGTTTGCGACAATCGCGCATTTACAGGTTACTCGCTGTTGCAAACGATTAAGTCATAATTAATTGAAAATCAACCACATCTTTTAAATAATTAAAGATTTAAAACTTTTTTCGTTTTATAAACACAACAGTTTATTGTCATGTTTGTTAAATACGGTAATCAAAATTTACTTTTGAATGCCGTTTTATACAGACGCACGCGGTTTGTAATTCGTGTACCTCACGAAAATAACTAAAAGAATTTAATGTGCTAAAAAGTTGGCGTTGATTTGTATTTCGTGTACGACACGAAAATAACTAACCAAACTCAATGTGTTAAGATGCGTTAATTATGTGTGAAGCTCACGTCGATCAAACGGTTTTCAAAGCGCATTCGAATAAATACGTCTTCTACAGCCGCAGGATGGAATGGAAATGAAATAAGTGAGACGGCAGCGGCGACGCGGCGGCGGACGGCGGCTGATCGGTCGGTGGGGAGAAGGGCCGACGATCGACGTAGATGAACGCAGCGCGTTTTCACCATTTCACATTATCTTTGGACTTTGACCGTCCGCCGCCGGTACCTATTGCGTGTTGCAATCGCGGGTCGCCGATTACCTGGTACTGGTTTTATTAATACCAGTTATATAATTGATAGCTATTATTAAATTGCGAATTCCACGTAAAATTAGCACTATCAATACAATTAAACACTAACACACGGCCTACTAAAATGCCAAAAATGAAACTAATACATGGACAACGTCGTTACGGGACAACTATATCTGGTAACTATATCTATAACTATATCTATATAAAGAGAACGGGTCGCTCTCCGACCAAACCGAATCGCCACAGCGCATCCCCGCGCCGCAACACTATCCATATATCCCCTCCCGGATCTATCGACAGCGCTGCAACGGCGACCGCAGAAGTGGTACAGGTGTTGTACACTGCGTTTCAAATAATGCACTGTTGACTGTCGATAGTCCACTGTTTATCGCCAATTGCCGTGGTGTACGCACACGTCATTTTCACAGCGTTTACTTTTTTGTACCGTTTGGTAATTTTTACTTTTTTCTCCGTTTTTTAATTATTTNTTAGTATTATAAATTTGTAATTTTATCAAAAATAAAATAAAATGTAAATATGACAAAAATGATAAATTGTAATTTTAACGAAAAAAAAATGAAATGTTTTAATATAATTATTTATTATTTATTAAATATATAACTCTGTATTATACCTACTGTACTATACCTACTGTACTATACCTACTGTACTATACCTACTGTATTATACCTACAGTGTTCAATAAAATATTAAATAAATAAATATGTATACAAAAAAAACAAAGTCTGGATTATTATAGAAGGTACTTGTATACACGATAGTTTACGATTTGAAAAATCATCAATAGGTTATAAAACGGCAAAGGACATCGTGCGATGCGCGATGTCTGATAATAACAATTGAATTTCTACAAAATATCCTAGCGGTGTATAGTCAAAAACCGACGACAGAAGAAATGACAATCGGCTGCCTTCGCTGAAATCAAGTTATGTGAAGGGGTAAACATGCGCACAAGCGGCCCGTTCTCTCGTGAAACGGACTATAGTAGTTATATAATTGATACCTTGACACCGGTAAACAGCGATTCACAGTCGGAAAAAAAATATATACATAGCTACATAAAAACTGCTTTCAAAAACCCCCATTTTATTCCCTTAGAAGTTCGAATTTTGAAAAATCCTTTCGTAGTGCGCCCCTACATTGCTTAAGGAGCCTCTGTACACAATTTTAAGTCTAGACCCAGCGGTTTGGTCTGGGCGTTGATCAGTGAATACGGGCGGTCTCTTATATGTATATAGATTAATAAAATCTGTTCTTATAAACTTATAAGCATAGAATCTTAATATTCATTAATTCATTTTTATCAATTGTTTCATTCTTTGTTAATTATATTTTATATTGTACTGTACTCAAACCTACGGGCGTTTATTCAATACAAAGATAAATAATTATTTGATTAACTCAGTAATGAATTTATGAAAAAGTATTCGAAGGAACTACAAACTTGATTTTTGGGTTATCGTTCTTATACCACACGAGTATAACGGATTCAGTATATTATAATATAATATGGGTAAATATAATAATTCCCTATAGAGGTACATAATATCGTTTTGTTAAGTAGGTAATTTATATTTTGGTGAAACATACAATATATTATTGCCTACATAAGTAATGTGAAAACTGAAAGAAATTAAATTGTATGACATTCAGAAATACATATATTAATACCTATGCCTGCAATAAATTTATATGAAAAGCAGCCACATAAAATTTGAAAAATATTCGTGGCATGAGCACGAAGAAGATAAAAATATTTAAAATAAACAATTTTTAATTTTAATTTTTGATTTTGGGGTCCCGTGCGCATTGAACACTTTGCACACCAAATTGTTGCAATATTGTAGGTAGGTACTGATTCAATATTCTATCTACCACACGTTTGGTGGTTTAATAAGTAAGCAATGCACATACCTGTATGAGCTTATCATTTTGGATTTAAGATTCGGCTTTTTACAACAAAAATTAATCAACTATTTATGTTATCTGTGTCGACATATTTTCACTCAAAATAAAGATATCCGTGTAGGTTTTTTTTAAAAACCCATGATTTATTATCTATAATGAATAAAACTCTAATAAATTTAAAAACCAAAAAATGTGTGGTGGTGAATTGAATGCAATTTTTAAAAAATAGTAGGAAACGAGGTTCAGAAAAAATTGACAAAGTAAAAATACCGCATTATAAAGGTGGTGGGTAAGACAATTTGAATTTTTGGTATAGGTAACATATTCAATCACCATAAAATTATTGCGGTGGATGCATTATTCATTGAACAAGTATCAATACATCAATATAATATTAAAGCATTGAATTTACGAATATTATACGTAGGTATTTACGTGGTTTTATTTTCTATTCTGACAAAACGAGACACACGAGCGATCCACCAGTTTGGTAGGTATCTATTACAATAGATGTGTAAGTACACAGTAAAAATAGGTAGGTAAAATTATTTATAAAATAAAAAATAGACGGGGATCGGCTGATCGGAGAATGGATATTCTATAAAGCAACTACTCCGTGAACTAATTAGTCGGGTGGGTGCATGTGTGCAGTAATTTGTCATTATTTGGTAATATGTTAACAAAAAATGCTAAGTACAGAAACGTCCAATCGATTTTTTTAACGGCTCTGATTCGTCTGGTATTTTGGTTATTTTATTTAACTGGAAATGCTTCACACTTTGCAAAAAAAAATACTTTACGCCGCTAATGATACCGATAAAAACCAAATAACGAAAAGACATTGGCACTATATTATAATGTAACATAATCCAATGTACCTATAACCAATTAAGTATTGGTAGTTTTTTCACAAATTACTACATGTACTTATGCAGCCGTGTAAGTAATTATTTTAATTTGTCCAACTGTATATATCAATAAACCATTAATGTGTGTACACATTCGTAATAATATATTGCTCAGAACGTATGGACTTGACTACAAAACAAAAATTATTGTCGAGTTTTGTTCTGATGTTTTAACTGACCACATGATCGAGCCACCGTCAATAACTCTGCGTACACAGAAATTCAATATACGCACAACATAGGTAATTACAATAATATCATTAGCAGCTGGAAGACGTTAAACAGTATTAAGATATATTATCAACAGTAAAGTAAACATCGTTCCTATAATTGTGTATTATATACACATGCATTATTATCATATTATTATTATAGTGATAACATGTTTATGAAACCGATTCCGGTACAAATGTACAAGTGTATAGTTTCGACAATCTCACTACAAGAGCGCGCAAGAAATACAATACAATAATGAACATTTTACATTTCAATTGTATGCAAATATTTCGGTAAAATAAAATCGAAAACAAAATTGAACCGTACGGTTGACACATCGGTTTGGAGCAAGTATATAATATTAAAATCAAGTGAGTACTCATAGTAAAAATGAGTCGAAATTGTCAGTAAATTCGTCGTCAATCAAAACGCGTATAAACAATAAACGGTTTATTTTTTTAACGTCGTTACTATATGGGTATGAAATTTTTTCCGTCCAGCAACAGTTTCACATGGTTATTTATTTCGTAGGATACAACATAATTCACCGAACTAAACGTGAACAAGTAATTTACTGCATATTGCGGATACATATTCGAAAACTACGTAACCTTTGGTGCAAACTAATGGGTTTTTGACGTCAGATGGCGCTTTTTGAAATTTTGCTTCGACGTGGTATACTTTCTCGTCGTTAAACGATCAGATCGGGCTTTGAACAAAGTTAATATGGACGTAAACTAATATAACTAGCTATTTAAACGAAATTGTACGTGGATTTGTACCTGCCATTTGCGAAAAATCGAAATTTTCGAATTGCCGCTGTCGTTAGAATTGTCCACTGTTCCTGTTAAAATTGCGGATTTGAAGATAAGTATCTGTAGGTTGAGAGTGAACGTCATCGCTTCTCGGCCTATCGGCTAAGATCAAAGCGATACCATCAGGTCCAGCAGAAATATATACATAGAACATATTACGGGAGTTCGGCAGGAGCCGGATTTAATTTAATTTAAAGTTTATACTATCTTTTTTTTATATATATTATTTTTTTTTCCTTTTTCTGTACACTTCCTGAAACATACACAAATAAAATCTGTTCTTATCAGCTTAACGTCTGATACACCCCCCCATGGGGGGGTTCAAATGTTAATCTAATATTTGGAAACTAGGCGGAGAGTTTGGGGCTTGCTCCTACTCCGCCGCGGGTTGTCCCGGTATCGCACCGGCACCGGGAACGGCCCATTATAATTAACGAATTTAATCCACTAACGTTCAGTGATTCTGAGTTGGATTCCTAAAAATATGATGCTTTTATTAACGCGTCGTCTAATTAGTAACGTACGTTACAAAATTGTTACGACTTTTGGGTCGTTGTGATTTTTCCCCGGTAAGTTGTTTACTGAAGTGGACGGGGATTGGTTATATACTACATAATATACACCGCATACCTATCCATCAACATTTGATTGAAAAAAAACCGTCTTATGATAAATTTCATTGTGATGTCCCATTTATAGATGCTGCTAAAACCAAAACAGCAATAAAAATTATATTTATTTCAGTGATTAGGGAAAATTTCACAATTCTTTTACAGTACATTATATAGTATCTACTGTATTTAAAAAAATATCCAGTGTCGGTGATTATTGTGTTTTGATAATTTTAGTTTTTAACAATAATCGGTACCTATTTCCCTAAAAACAATACAATCCATAGGAAAGATAATAAAATCGGGGACGATATAGTATAATAATATACTCTCAGAAAAATTAACGTGAACACCACTGTTCGTAGGTAGGTAAGCAGGTAGGTACCTATCCTATCCAACCATTATTATAAATTCGTTTGGACGTTTCGTATTATTCGTCACTAGTTGAAGCTGATACATTGCACAGTCATAGATCTAGTCCGGGAATAACGTAATTATAGATGACTCTTTGTTTTTTTTAGATCAGCTTCTAAGCAGGTTATAATATCGGTAAGGAGAAATCACAAATCTGTAATACTATAAATACGCTGAAAATTAACGTTACGCGGCTATCAGTATTAGCGCAGTGGCGTCCTCAGTACAATTTCTACCCGGCGGTCTCGAGTTCGAACCCCGAACGCGCGACGCTCATTTGTAAACATTTTTTTTCTTCAATTTCACCACTTTTTATTGCCTTTCGGACTAGGCATATTATTATCGTTTAATATGTTTAGTTTTGAATTTCCTACGCAATATTAATAATAATAATAATAATAATAGTTCGTTCAACAACTTGTACCTTTACGAGTAAATTTGTCAAAAAAGCATTCTAAAACATTGATGGACAATAATATAGATTTGTAACTGCAGCGATAGGGACGGGTAAATCATATTTTTATTTTATCCGTTCAATAATAACACAGGTAAAGCCGCGCGGGACAGATTAATAGTATTGTGTCAAAATTTTCACTTTTACACACGAAACATAATTACTAAAGTAATATTTTGTGGCATTTGTTAGAATTGAAGAATATTTTTATTATTTTTTTTTTTTCATAGCAATATTGAGTGGTATTCGTTAGAATATTTAAGCAACACTTGAACCTATATGGGTTATATGCCACTGCTGTACGATATTCATGATTTTTAATTTTTTTTTGATGGACAACAAAATTATTAAAAGTAACAATCGTTTACTGTGAGAGTTGTTAAAAGAAAAACCATGAAAATAAGTCACAATATTTTGCCAATCAAAAAAGTTTAAAAAAATAACACAAGACAAAACAAATAGGTACCTTTTTTTCTAATTGCTACATTTAGAATCTAAAAATTGTTAATAACGCTATACAAATTATAATTCGAGAATGCAGATAATAAAACAAACAATATTAATTAGGTCGTAAACCGGTGACTATAGTTTACAAACAATAGGTACCTACACAAATCGTTCGTTGTAATAAATCGGAGGTACCTAATGTCCTCTAACATGATGTGTACTGACGTCAAATTCAAGTGTTATCTTAATATTATTATGTTCTCTTTTTTTGACATTTACAATTTACATACCTATTAAAATATTAAACAGAACTCTGAAAATTAATCAGCATCAGAGCTGAGAGTAATTCGGGGTGTCGTAGAGCTGGAACAAAGACTCTAATCCAAACAGAGAAATTCTAGATCCACACAGTGTATCTAGGTACCTATAATATTAGGGTAACTTAATAAATAAAGAACATGTTTTGTTGCATTAAAAAAAAAAAATAAATAAAATGAAAAAGCAAGTGTTTAATATTTTGATTTGTTTTAAATTTGATGTAAAACAATACATTTTTCTTAAATATTTTACAAATTTATTGTCTAATTCTTTTAAAAGAATTTTTAAAATGTCCGATTAGTAAATTAATCCAAAGGTAGCTAAGTTATTACTAAGAAAATATAGTAAATCTTGCATTTTGACTGTATAATTATGTAACATGCACTTTTTTTTTGTTTCAATTCAATATTATATGTTTTGTTTGCTAGAGATTCTATTTTATACAAAACCAACGATTATAACAATACAATCAATTATCAAACTGAAAAGTGAAAACTATCATGAAAACCGGAATTATTTTCCCATTTTATCTTACCATGAGTTTATCAACAGACCACTATCTTTTATCAATATCGTTCAATCATTATTAAAAAAAAAAAAAAACAAAACAAACTATTATTTGTGATTTTTCAATTTTTCTTCCATTTATGTGAAATTACTTCTCACTTCTAATTAAGTTATTTAACATATTTGACATTCTATTTACATACATTCATTACCTATTAAAATATGAAAGTTTTAAATGTGTCGTTTTGTTTTAGCTGTTTCTATGCAAAATATAGATTGGATTGTTCATCAGCCTTCCTGAATGTTCTCAAATGATGAGCTAGGGGGTAATATATTTAGTATAATATGAACAATTCAATTTTTCTTTTATTAAGTCATTTTAAAATGATTGTAGTATGATAACAATATCACTTAATAATTAATGATTTAAAAGATATTCATAGAGTTGGCAGAGGACAATGTAACAGAGGTGATTCTGTTAATAATTAAAAAATTTGGGGCCTGGGATCCATGCAGTAGGTGAGACAGATTTATTTAGTTTCTGTAGAAAAACATAAAATTTCACCTAAATTTATTTTTATTTTTATTATTATAATTATGGGTAATAGTTACACCAAAAACATCAAGTTCTGAAATATATTTTCATACTAAAAATTTAAATTTGAGGAAATGAAATAGAAGTTAAAATATTCACTTTGAACACACTTCAATGTAATATTTTAATGAAATATACATAAGGTATTATTTTGATGAATAACATTTAGGGCAGACGGAGGAAGTAGAAGTAGTCAATTCATGTATTTAAAAACCAAAATAAAATTGTAAAAAAAAGTAATAATTATTTACAAATAATTTGTCTTGTAATCCTGAGTTAGAGAGAAGATTTTATGGCCATTTATACTGTAGTGACATATAATTGTTCTGCCACATTTTGATTAAAACTATCATTTCTAAATAACTAAATTGTATTGTGAATAAATAGTTAAAAATTGTTCTATAATTGAATTTACTTAGTATGACTAAGTATGACAACAAATGAAGGAATTATTTATTTTAATTTTTTATTACATAAGCTTGGAGAAAGTAGCGGAATTTGGAATTAAGGATTAAGTATTAGCCAATTTACAAGAATTTACAAATTTTTAATTAATTTACCTCTAAACTTTTTCTATGCTCTTTGTCAGTCTCATTGACTCTACCGTCATATAGTTTGTTTGCGACTAATATTTCACTGGTGGCATTTTTCCAAAGAAATAGACCACAAACTGAAACATACTAAATTACCACGAACTTTGAAACATACCAAATAGATGCATTTTACAGTTTTGATGCACCAAAGATATGATCACCATGGATAACACATTTTCAATAGTGTTATACCTATATTCAAAATCTATATAAAGCAGTTTTGATGTAAGATGAAATTTTTTTATTTTACTGTTATAGCAGCAGTGTTCATCAATGTGTTAATATACTTAATGCTTAAAAATAGAAAGAAAAGATTTTGCATTTTTAATCATAAAAATATTACACTCATCTGTAAGTTTGAACTTTTGACATTATCAATAATTTATATTTCACAAGTATTTCTTACATCAACAGAAGTGATGTTATATAAATTGCCATTATAAACCCATAAAATATATGTCTAATATTTTTTCATAAGTTTGTCTACCTGAACCATGCAATACATGCACTTAACATTTAAAATCTAATGATATGTCATATTATACAGTACTACATAATCATACTGTGGTTTGTATTTCAATTATATGACAGTATATCTATTTCACTATTAGTTAATAGTTCTATAAACTTTTATACCTATTTCTTAAACAAATAAAAAAACAAAAAGAAAAGGGAATATAATATTTAATAATTATTTAAATAAAAAAAACATCCTGGAAAATATCCCTAAACCTGTGGTTATGTGTAGGCAGCCTACAGAGAAAAAAAAATAGAACCAACTTAGTTTAGCAATAGTGTAGCGTACTCATAATATTGTATTTAAATTGTAAAATGACCACTAGGAAACAGTTATACAAGATTTCTGTATTTTCTAGAAATAACACAACGATCCACAGGATGTTGATAGCAGCCACACAATAGCGGCCAACAACATTGAAATATTACAACTATTTATAAGGTCACTTGCAACAAGTGTTTTTTAGACAACACAACTATGGTGGTTGTGGCCTTTGGTTCTAATACAACCAACAAAACTCATCTACAAGTAACTATGATTTTTGTAATTATTAATTATTTGAACATATAATTTCTGTGTGAAAAGAAACTAACATACACACATACACTTGTTATTACAGTTGAGTCTTTTTGAAATTTATGGCCAGTTGCAGTTACTGTCTGTAATTTAGTGACATATAACAAGCTGCCACAGGAAGATTCTAAATTGATAAAAATAAATGAAAACCTCCCAAGGAAAAAAAAAGGTACTATAATTTATTAATATTTATAAATAGTTCTATTTTATAGTAATCATATTATATTTAGATCTAACTGTTCAAATGGTCCTGTTGTGATGATTGTCCTGATGGTAGTGGAAATACAAATTACTCTAATGGTTACAATTTTAATAGTCTAGGATTAATCAAGCAATAATGTAATCAAGTATGCACTGGCTCCATTTTTTAATACCGAGAAATTATTTTGTAAGGGTGGAGTAGGTACAAGAAATTATCCTTTAAATTTGATGATTGGAATAAGATTTTTGGTTGAAAAGTTGATAACAGACAAAAATAAAATAATAATCTAAAATCATAATCTTAACTTCCTTAATATTTCATTAGTTGTGTTACACATGAAATGAAAAACTGCATCAACATAATAACTTTCATAATTTTGTATAAAGAGTGATTATCCCTAACATTTTTTTTAATTACTTGACTAATATGCCTAGACTATATTATAGTAATGAAAAAATTAAAAATATATAATTTAATGGGATCTATAAACAGAGAAGGCTGAAGGGTCTATGTGTGGTAAGGTCTATATTCCCAGTATCCTGGTAGGTCAATATGCACCTGGTAATTTTGAATTTTATTTCTTTTTAAATTACTATAGGTAACACAATTTATTTCATAGTATTGTAAATTATTGTGGTGTTCTTATGTGGAAACATTATTGATATTGGTCAGAGTCAGAGTCAATGACATAAATTGGCCTCAATTTTTGGTGGTGCAGAGAAATACTATGATTTGTAATTTTTAACTAACCAATATTCCAACTTCCTATGTAAATCTGCCAGGGCATACATGCAATAAATGCAGATAATATAATATTAATATTATTGCATGGTTTCATAGTCTTTGTAATAATATAAAATAATAAAATAAGGACAAAATTTACAATTATCACATATGCAATGTGGTAGTGCAATTGCTACATTTGCACCATCCAATTTACGCCACCAGTCAGGGCTGTGTAATAATATATTGATCCAAACATTATGTAAATTAGTTATTATTACAAATAAGCTCACTGTAATCAACATTTAAAATAACACCATATTTTCAATTATTATGTCTAGGTTACTATATTTTCATTACAAATTCATCACTGAATTGGAAAAAATAATACATTTAACATAGACAGTTTTATTGGTGATATTTATTGAATAGCTTTCTCTGAAGTAAAACTGGACTATCTATAGTTTAGTATTTTAAGATTACAATTATGTATGTTAGCTGTACAATAATGGAAACCTGTAAAATGTTTAACTATACAATTTTCAAAAGTATTCAATAAATATTTTGAATTTAAAAAAAACCTAATAAGGTGTTAAAAAATCAAACCAAAAATCATCATTCAAATTATTTATACATATTAATTAACTAATGAATTTTAAACAAAATTGTTTTGTATATTAATAATTTGTACAAAAAAATTAAATGTATTATGTTGTTAGCTTAGTAAATACATCATACAAATATTGAAATTTATAATTTAATTTTTACTTACAATAATAATGACTGAACAAATATAGAGTAAAATAACATAACAAATTTGAAATAAATGTTTTATTAGTAAATAAGGTCAATTTTAGTATCAATATTAGTCAATATCAATAAATACATCATATTTTTTGAATTTTATACTTATTAAAAATATCTTATTAGAAGATAAATTCAGTTTAAATATGATATAGCCATATTTTTGTTGTTACCTATTAAAATTGATCACGTTTTTGTCATTCATAGTACATGAATTTCCTTGAATACCTATTTAATCTGCTTATTTTTTGTTGATGTACAATATAATATTTTTTTGAACTAATTAATTAAGCTATCCATATTTTGGTGTAATTATTTTAATTGCAGCTTCCCCACTATAAGTGATTTATTTTACACATACAGAATGTACAACTTACAACTGAATGGTTGTTGGTCAACTAATAAAATCTACCACAGTGAATTTTTATTATAGGATAATAATTTTATATCTGTTCTAGTTTGTTGGATATTTATTATAATTTTTATGTGATTTAGCAAATAAGCAAATACAATTTATTGCTATTAAGCAATCTAACCATTATGCAAACCTATTCCACCCCAAAAAGTGACAAAGTGAAAAAAACAGTTTTATAAAATAAATATATTTAAATGCCTTATTTAATTCCTATTTATCTAGGAAAAAGGTGTCGAAGTGATATCATAAATAGTTAATGAACCACTCATGTAATTTTTGACAAAATTGAATACAAATTAATCTGAATTTGGAATTTAAAACAAATTAATTTTTAAATCATTGAGTCAATTTTTGCAAAAAAAAGATACTGAATTATCTACATGATAATGTATTGTGATTATGTATGTGTATTATATTGAATTTTGACTTGAGCTATCAATTTTTTTTCAGAATAATGCAGTCACATTTAATGTGCAAGCATATCATTTAGCAGTAAATTGGAATTGGGCTGCCATATTTATGGATTAGTTTGTCAACAGTTCTATCAAAATACAAGCCAGTTTGGATTAAAAGTAAATATTTTAATATATTAGGTGTGTGCTAGCAACTAAAATATTGTACATAATAAAACAAAACAAAAACAAATTGTTTTTCATTAATACTCAATCAAATTTAAAAATATAATAAAGTAAATAAATAAAAATAATAACTTATATGAAAATACACATAAAATAGCTTTTGCTCTGTTCAATAAAAAGTTCAAAAAGTTATTTTCTTCATTTAGTATTTTATATTCTTAAAAATGGAAATATTATTTTTACAAAATTCAAAGTAATCATTTTTGTAAATTTAAATATAAACAATATTTTAGTATTAGAAATATTTACTAATGGTGAATAAATTTTCTACAATATTTTGAAGTTTATAATACTTTAAATTGATATTATTGCCACTGAATAATATCAATTGATTAACAAACTTATCCATTACAAATAATTATATTAATGATTAAACTTTAAAAATGATTAGATAAAGAACAAAACAAAATTTGGAGTATTATTAAAGTAGTTTGTATAATATAGGTTTAAAAAAAAATCATGATCAGTAGTAGAATAATAAAAACTGAAAAATTGAATATAAATTCTATATAAAATTACTATTTTTACACAGTAAGTAAACTAATTCTGCTAGAAAAAATGTTGAAATTTAGTGAGATGACAGATTTAAGAAGAATTATTATTTTATACAAAATATTGATATAGAATATTAGTTTTATAATTTTGTCTGTACATTCATAATATTTTTGAACTTATTTCCCTTAACCTCATTATAAATATGAAAAGTTATTATCAGTAGTACTCATTATTTCATCAAAATCAACAGTATGAGTATTTTTTAAAACATAACTTGCTAAATTATAATTAACAAAAGCTTGCTTTAATTTAATTTTGCTCTTTGTATATAATTTTAAAGTTTCTAATAGATTTTCATTATAAAATGTATTACAATTAAATTGCATGTTTATAATGAGGTTAAAAAAAATACACTTAAACAAATCTTGAATGTACAGGTACATGGTTTTAGGTATAATACAACCTCTTAAATCTGTCATTTCATCCCATTTAACGATCTCTTCAGCCTGGTCTGGATCACATGGTGAAACATTTGACTATGTCAATCTGGCTTTCATATAGGATTAGTTTACTCCTTGATTTTATATTTAATTATTTCAGTTTTCTTATTCTATTACTTGAATATGTTTGTTTATTTAAGCTATGCATAAACACTATATTATAATACTTTGGACTTTCTTTTTTTCTTTTTTTTTGTATATATATATTTATATTTGTATTCCATATATACCTATGCATTATAATATATTTTTATTTTAACTAAATTATTTCTTTTTTACCTTTATTTATATTTTTATATTAATGTACACACAATAAAGTACTATAGATTGGGTTATAATATTATGTTTAATTTTCACAGATAAAAACAGAAATTTCAGACAAAATCTACAATTTGCTGCAGACCATAAGAAAGTAAAAATTGAATATGGGATATATGGGTGTGGTAAAAACTAAAAACATTAATAATCAAATTTTAGACAGATTAAAATATCAACTGTTGAAAAGAATGAAATATTGATAGTCCAAATAATATTTGAATTTTTGATATAATACTTTATGAGTAATATTTTAATTGTAAAAGTAATACAAATTTAATTTAAAACATAACCCAGATAGTAAAATAATATTGTTCACAATAATATTTCATTTTTAATGACTAATATTATTTATAAACTTAATTTATTTTTAATTGAATACAAAATAGTAATAATATTATAGAAAAATGTTTGGCCACTACGCAATTATTATTTATAATTAAATTTTTTTTTTTAAATAATATTATTGTAATATAATATAATGATGTCATGTATAAGAGCCATAATAATGGCTCTTATATTCTTATTATAATATGATTTATTTGATTTGGCAATATTTACTTTGGTACCTAATAATAAACTGCAGTTTGTCTATATTTTGTTTTTATTAATGTTTTCTTCACAGTACATATTTCAATATGTTGTTATTTCATATTTTTAGTGTGAGCATCTGGGATATTTTATTTGTTTAATGTTTCAAGATACATTTTTTAGTATAGTGAAGTAATATCCCTGGTATTTGTAAATTGCATAGAGTATAAATGTTAAAGTACTTCAAAATTGTTATAAATTAAATTACAAGGAAAATAGCTAACTCATATTGTATAAAAATAAAATATTTCACTGATTAAACATTTTTTTATCTTGTTTAAAAAGTATAAATTATATTGTATGTTGAAATACTGTCACTGAAATTATCTCGCTGTTACTTTTGAACTTCATATCTATATGGACTTGTGCCTGTATTTCTTTAATTCAAAAATAAAAATAAACAAATTCACAAATTTATTCTGAGATGAAATATTAAATTAGATTAATTACCCAGGAAGCTCAATTCTATAATTTTGTTTTGTATATTTTGTCCTTTTTTTTTTTATTATAAATGTATATTTCTGTAGTTTTCTATTTTAAATTGTCTATGAAATAATAAATGATTGGTTTAAAGAAATAATTTTTATAAGGTAATTTGTACATTACTATTTTCAAGATTTGTAGTCTAATCTTTATAGCTAACTCTAAGGTGTTATTACAATACTAAACTTTAATTTAATAATATTGATAATTTTTTTTTTTTTAATTTTAATTAGTTGAAATGTAAAATAAATAATAATTTGTTATATATTGAGATTATGACAATTTCCTTACTTATACTAAAAATAAATTATATTATATAAAAACATGATTATAAAGTACTAAAATAAAATGATCTGACATGCACAAAAAATTCTTAGTTGTAAAATAATAAAAATTGCATTTGTAAGTTGCAAAGTTTTGAAGATAAACAACAAAAATATGTGATAGATACCATACCTAAAATATACAAATTTTATTTTCATGATGTTTAAGAAGGACAAAAAGAAATATTCCTTAATAACTTTGAAACACCAAGTAAAAAACTGATTATAAAAAAATGTACAGATATAACATGTATAGGTACCTAACATTAAACAAATTAATAGTACCTTCTATACTATATACTTACACATTTCTAATTTCTAAATACATTGAATTCTTTGGTAACTATAAGCAGAGGTGGAATGACAACAATTCTTACTGGGCAAATATATTCGTCCAGAGCACTTCAATTTTTATCATTATTTGATATCATATTGAGAGTTGTATACCTAATTACAATTTTTGTTTAATGTATTAACACATTTTTGGACCATACATTTGTAGAAACTTGCATCACCAAATTAACATCATTAACATCCCTTAGTATCTACCATACATTTTTTTTTTTTTAAGAGAAAATATTTCAGCCAAAGCACTATAAGACACTGCTTTACAATTTCAATGGTCAATGGTCGCAACTGGTCAAATTATTCGGTATAATTTGTGACCACCTTTATTCTTATCATAGAAATTATCTGTTACTCAGTAATTTATCTTTTAAAAAGGGTTATTCCTCCATCATGAGAACCTTATATCATACATATTTTTTTTTAAGGGAAAACATTTCAACATAAAATTCCTTTAATATCTTTATGTCAGACACTCTTTAGAGATTGAATTTCTAGATAAAAAGTAGACCGTCCTGTTGTTTTAAATATCAAATGTAAAAAATTTTATCCAGATCGGAATATAATTATAGATTTATATTAAAAGCAAACATAAATTGAACTTGATTTTATATATACCTACATAATTTGTCAATGCCGAATAGTTTATACTGTTTATAGTATCTTTTTTTGTATTAAACATGGTCAATGGACTGTGGGATAGGTTGTTCCTTATCCGCCCCCACTCATAAATTTTGATGATAGATAATTTATAACTTCACTTCATAAATATAAATGTGTGGAAAATTAGAAACAAAGAAAACATTTAAATGACTTCTCCAATATCAACTAGACAAAATTTATTATCAAAAAACCACCCTTGATGAACGGAGTATGATATCTGGTAAAAAAATGGTTTACAGATAGAAAAACAAAATAAACATAAATCTAAAAAAACACACACACATCATGGACAACTAATAAATGTTTTGCTTTACGCTTAGAATCTAAAAATTTCTCTAATACTCTAAATGTGCAATAAGAAAGGATTTTTAAAAAAGACATCTTAGGATAATGAGAACGGGTGCAGCTATTGTTATAGGTAATTTAATGTATACCTGTAATCAACGATAAACCATTGTTTACAAAAAAACGATTCTGAGCGGAGTTCAGTTAATAATGATGCTTTGTCAACTTGTCAACAATATATATGCCATATTATAGTAAAATAATTAAGTAGGCTCTATATATTTTCTTTAATAATATTTGTTTAATGTTTTACCAATTTTCCCAGTATGTTTTTTCCTAGTTTTTCATATTTGCTGAAAAACTCCGTAGTGACCTCTGTAAGGTATCTCCCCACACCGATTTCCTTTCAGAAAAGTTGTCTACGGAAAAAAAAAATCTTTGTAAAACCATAAGCTTTTTCACTCCACTCAGAATCTAAAAAATGTATATACAAATATGAAAAATAAATAAATGCGTCACCTGGAGTTTTCGAATTATAAATTCATCATTAGGTATATCACAGTCAAAATGTAAAACGCGACTGAATATAAAAAATTATATGAAGGAATACATAGAAAAAATTATACAAATTGGTCGTTTTACATAAAATTAATTTATTTTAATAGGAGAGATTATTTAAGATAAGTTATTATTAGACATAGATATATTAAAGGGGAATATCCGTTAATTTTCTTTTTTATTAAGCCATTAAATTAAATATACCTATAATTAAAACTAGGTTTAAGATGAAACTAAAATATATTTAAAACAATTTTGGTGAATTTGTCATCAGTAAATAGCATTTAAAAATTTAAATTTCGTATTTTAAGTACTTTTCCACTGGGCTATGTTTTATAGTTAAAAATCTATAACTTCGAATGTATATTCTAGACAAGTTGTTTGGAATACTGTCGTTGGTTGATTTTTTGAAAAAAATATTAATTTTATATCAATTCTTATCAATTTTTATCAATTCAATTTTGCTCCAAATTTTAATGATAGCAATGTTTCTAAAAGAAAATTTCACTAGCGAATTACTTTAATGAGGTTATTTTTCGTTTTCCCAAGAGGTTTCTCAACAAATGTGAAAAACCGGGATAAAATATGGAAAAAACGTAGGAAAATTGGGAAAATCGGTAAAAAATTAAACTGATATTACTAATGAAAATATATAAAGCCTATTTAATTAATTTACTATAAAATGACATATATATTGTTGACTAAGCATTACTATCAACTGAACTCCGCTCAGATTCGTTTTTTCGTAAGCAATGCTTTTATTGTTGCTTACAGGTATACATTTAATTATCTATAAAAGTGGCTGCACCCATCCCCATTATCCTAGGACGAATTTTTATTTTGACCCTTCCTAAAATTTCAATTATGTGCGCCCATTGGTTTTTATGGAAAAAAGGTCTACAAGATCACAAGAGCGTTCACTCCGAACAAGTACCTAACAGTTTTAATATTAGATTTCATTACGATTTGAAATATTCCGACAAGTGACATCGTAAACTCATAAACTAAAATAATTAATATTTATTCAACTGAATATTTGATTTTAATTTTATTACAAACGATATTACCGCTCTTGCCGCCTGGAGCACCTGCTCCTTTTGCCTCATTCCCTTGATGCGCCCCTGATGTATACATTAATGTTATTTATGTATTGGTTAATAAGTACCTATACACTTTATTGATTATAAAGTTCTGAAAAATTATAATCTTAGCTATTAAGACTGAACTTGTACATAATTTCTTTTGTAATAATTATACTGTAGGTCTGTATAAACCTAGATAAGTTATACCATTGATTAAAAATACTATTTATGTATTTACCAACATTTTTGTATTGGTATAATCAATGGTAACATCTACCTAATTAGTATTTGATAAAGGTTTTTAAATTTGCTTAAATGAAACTATGATGAAATTGTAAATAATATGAAATAATGTTCAACTTAATTATAATAAAATATATGGTAAATAATAGATAAAAACTATAAAATAATGTCTTGTTTTGTCTCCTTAAAAATTATGTATCTTTTAAAATAATCAATTGTATAGCTATTTTATTTTACTATTATCAATACAAATTAATTTTCAAAATTTTTTTTATACAGTTTTACATATGAATAACTGTCTTATTTTGTGTATTTTCCTATAAATATTGAGGTGACACTAAAGTTTACCATACCTTATTAAATATTTAAAGTAAGTGCATATTTTTTTAATACCATGGTTTTTTTTATTATTTTTTGTCAAAAGAAAAAACCGAATTTTAAAATAACAATATAATGTTTGAAATATTATAAATATACATTAATATTTTGTTGTTATATACAAATATATATATTTTTAAAACTCAATTGGTAATAGATTTTATCTTGGCCTGTGAGGCTGACAATGCACTGGTGAAATAGTAAGATATATATAATTTAATAGGTTTTGATAGGTAGTACACTAGTTGAGTCTCAATGAATAACTGATTGGATTTAAATATTTAAAAGTAATACAAACCATTTCCCTTCTTATTTTTACAGACTTAGGATCTATTTTACCAAAGATTTTTTCTGTAATTTTATCATCTACTTATAGGTACATTTTTCTTTTTGTAAAATACAATTTTGTTTATTTTTTTTTTGAACTTCTTATTTTAATGTAAGCATCTTTCATGTACTTTTTAAAGCTTCTAAGCAATTTAGGGAGTCTGGCTACAATTGTAACATTTTTTATAAAATTTTCTGTATATTCAAAGATTTGAACAATTTTTGTTTGGTTTCACCAATTATTAAAATAACTTAATACCTTTATAAAAATGTAAGTATTGAACTTTAAATATTGCTAGTTTTTGTATAAATGACTAATGAGGAATAATAATAATAAAAAAAATTAACTGTTATGAATATATTATTTTAAACATGTCTGTGAACATTGTACACAATTGATCAAAAATTGGTTACTACCACATACTTTATGCAACATAAGTTGCATTCGCCAAAATAATAAGGAGTAATTTATTATGGATTGGCTATCAAATTTTAATTGTTTTATTAAATATACCAATTTTCACCTATTAAATAAATACACTATAATATTTTGTCACGCAATTTAATTATAACCCGTATTTAGATAATCAAAAAATTATTGAAAAATGACATGTTTATTTTTAAAAATAAAAGTTCCATCTTTGAAGTTTGTTATATGAATCAAATTATATACTCGGAAAGCATTGTCTAATATCAATAAAAAACAGATGCATTATGCATTGAAATCCGGATCCTAGTTATAAATGTTATAAGTAGCTTGTGGTGTAAACATATTTGTATAATTTTTTTTTGTAAAACCTCAATTATATCCAATTAAAACATTTGTGAGATGACTGCTTGGCTATCCCAATCAATTGAGTTGCAAAATTTAAAACCACCTAATCAGAATAAAATTGGATGAATTTATTTGCTCATACAAAGCCAGTAACTATTACAAACATACATCAGAAATTCGTATTTAATACACAAATTAAACATATAAATAATTAAATTAAAGGCATTTAAGATATGTTTTTAAAAACAAATTTATTTAGTGTCAAATACAAATTTTTTGTTTGTAGGTATATATCAATTAAATGTAGGTATCTAATACATTAATATAAAATACTTAAATTACTTAATACATACATTGTGTAACTAATTATCATAAAAATACAAATCAGTATAAAATTAATTATACTACTATACTTATAAAGGAATAAAAATCCCCAGATGACAAAATTTAAAAAAACTCTATCTATGAAAAAAATTACTGTACACTATTACTAAATTTTGGTATTAAGGTTAAGTATAATTATATAGTATAAATTGTATTATATGACTGAAGGTGGAATTACTTCTACACTTATTTAAGTACGAAAAATGGATTGTTTTAATATTAATTTCAACTAACAGGCAAACAATCCAGTTGATTGATCAGAAAAAAAAAAATTGGAGACATGCCTTCCCAGTGTAGTAAGGGATCTTTTGGTTTTACATTTTTTTTGTCCCTGAAACACATTTCTACCGAAAATCTTGCTCCAATGTAAAGAATATATTTTTTCCAAAAGATAATTTTATCTAGTTAGTGCATATTTTGATTTTCTAAGGGGTTTTAAAAATAACTGGATAAATAACCTGAAAGAAAATTGTGGATAAAATGTAGATATATACAGTAACATGGTGACCGGGTTTAATTATTTTAATTTTTGCAAAATATGTTTTCTAATATTGTTTCAATAGAAAAAGGACAAGTTTTTTTTGTTATAAAATCAAGTTCTCAAGTAAGTTATTTGTTTTTTATTTTCTTGGTAGTTTTTGTAATAATTGAGAAAAACTAGAAAACGAGGTAAAATGGAAAATGATTAATTCTATGGTGTTAGAATTAATTTATTTTAAATTTTTACAGTTTATGTTTTTTGTTAAAAATTTTGGTCCAATAGAAAAACAATAAGATACCTTTTTTGCTGAGTTTGTTTTATCTAGTTTGTGATTAAGAAAGTAAATGATTTTCTTTGTTGATTTTTAATAATTAAGCAATACCAAAAAAACCGAAAATACATATAAACACCAGGACAATTTACAAATATAATATATTTATTATTTTTAATTTTGTTTTTTAATTTTCTTCAGTTAAAAACATTCAGATTTGACATTTTGACAGAAAAATTTAATATTTTCTTTTTTTAGATATAGTAAAATATTTAAAACGTTTAAGCTATTTTTAGACATTTTAATTTTGCAAGTTTATTTTACTTAATTTGTATTTGTTAGGTATCTACTCTGTGGATAAAATTGTTAGAGTAAACATAAATGCTTGATAATTTGACATTATAAATTGTATTTAGTGGTAAAAAAAAAAAAAAAAAAAAAAAAAATGTAATGAAGTTTTTCTTTATAATTTTAAAATCTAACCCATCCCTTAGCCTTTCCAAACATGTACAACCAAATTTGACTATGTTACCAATGGTTTATTATTGGTTATAGATATAAATTATATAACTTTATGTATCTCACCTTCCTAATTACCTACCTACAACAGTAGCCTCAACTGTCCTTAGTATCAGCTCTATTTTTTTCTGATAATAGTGAGGGCTCTGTTTTCATAATACCTACCTACTGCTTCCATCGTTTATTAAAGAAAATACAATAAATAATGTTGAAATTCTGTTTTTCCCTTCTTAGGACTGGTTCACATTAACTTAGGTTACTATTTAAACTATGGATTGGGATGAGCAAGGTATCGGCTCTTTTTAAGCATTATAGAATTGTTTAAACTTTATTTTAAAACTATTTTCCATTTTTCTCCAGTATCAGTTTTTTTATTATTTAAACATATTATTTATTTTCTACTTTAACAGGTGAAAAACATGTTTGTTGTTTTGTTTGTTTGGGGCATAGAGATGAAGTTGGTGAAGTCATCAATGTTCTTTATCCATGTGCACACAGGTAATGTTGTGATCCTTGCGGTGAAAGAATTCCCTAGAACTTTTAATATAAATATTTTAGACCAAATTTGGTATAATATGTTATTTAATGGTTAATATTTAAATGTATTTACTTGTTGGGTATATTCTTATGGATGTGCAATAACAGTTCCATGGATCTAATAGACAGCAATGGCATTTGTTTTTGATGAGCTTTTACTTTTTCACAGATGTTCTCAATTACTAAAGGTTATCTGCTTACCTGCATTGTAACCATGGGTGGAGCTGCATCAATTGTGTCATCTCTCTTCCAGACATATGTGAAGTCCATAACAATGATATAGAAAATGTCCTACAAATATGTTATTGCATAATTTATTAATAATAATATTGACATTGAGCATAGAAAAATGTATACTCAAAAATTTTAGTCTATAATATATATACATTTTTGATTTAATCTACTGGACACTTCTATTATTTTTATTTTTATTTTGCAGGTATAAGAATTTATTTCCTAAATAATGATAAACAAATAAATAGACATTATTGTCTTACTTAAATTATTATTATCTTTTATTTTATTTACTTTGAGTATATAGTGCAAATACAAATATGAGTTTAATAGTAATTTGGCAATAATATAAAAATGTATTAAAATAGGTAGGTATAATTATGTATTTAATAGAAGATTTATATTTAAGTATTATAAAATAAATTATAAATATGTAAAAATATACAATAAAATAAAACATAACCTGGAATATTTCAATTTTAATTTGTTTTATGATAGGTTTCGATTTAAAAATTATCGCCAGGTAATCAAATAAAACAAATTTTATGTGTTATTACATATTTATAAGTAGTTAAAGATTATTTGTTATCTATAGTATTAAACGATAATCAACAAACTACACCTGCATATTTAATAAGATTTTAGAATTAATACCAATTTTGATCGACTGTATTTTATAACTAGTGTAGGTTACCTACCAAAAACATCAAAATCAAAATTATAATTCATTGTTTATTATTTATTTTTCTTTAGTAAATGTAAATAGGAACATTTTATTACTTATTATAATGTTATATCTATAAGGTTTTAAAAAATGTCAAAGCTCAGTACCTAAGTTATTTATGCATTGTTGATAAGTTATTATTACAACTCGATGTATTTGGATTTATTAATTAAGAGATTTTATTGTAGTTATTATTTGCTATTATCACACATTTAAAGATAGTAATTGGTTAAAATTGAATGTTAAAAATGAACATTATGATTGATACTTTACTAATAATTTTGAACAAACAAAGAAACGTTATGACAGAGATACAAAAATGCAAGTATAATAACAAAAACCTAATAAGTACTATTTAATTTAATGAAATTGGTATGCTGTTAATGTAATATTATTTGTGTAAAAATAAAAAAATATTCGTGCAAAGATTTAATTGTTATTACCTTCTGGATTTTCGAAAATTCTATTTACTACCCTTAACCATGTTCTTTTAACTCCATGACAATATAATATAGTGTTCGGGGTTCTGATAAAAACAAAGTTCATAATGTTAAAATTCTATGAAAGCGTATATTATTTGAAAGTTTAAAAAAAATAATTATATTTAAGAATGGCTATTGACTAATACAAAATTGGTTTCATATTTCCATTTTTCATAACTGAGATAACAGGTATTGATAACACTAGAATATTTGGACTTTTAGATCAAGACAGGATAATTTAATCGCAAGACAACTAGATCCACACAAAAAAAGTATGGTTATTGTATATTATGATTTAAGATTGAGATCTAAATGACCCAGGTACTATATTATTTTGTTCCGATGATAATAAATATGTTATGGGTATTATCTGCAACTGTATTGTAATTATTGTTCATTGGTACTATAAATTTTAGTTTTATAAGATTAAAAATATTGTCTATGACACGATTACTATATTATCATTATATTAATTATTACGGCTATTAATCATAATTTTTCGTACAAGTGTCATTCACCGGAGAAGACTTTTACGTGATAACGACTGCCGCTACTCCTTCCCCAGATTGACGTATAACAGAGGAACAGTTTAGTTACCCAGTCGAAAATGATAATAATGAATAATAATGACCTCAGAGCGTAATTTCTGTACCTATATTTAAAATTAGTATTATTTTAATACTCAATAGTATTATATTTAAGTGTAAAATTATTTCGTTTGAGCCCTGCCCCCCTTCCCCAACGAAGCGAAGAACGGGACCGGGCCGTGTTACCGTGGGCGGTTCTTATCATTTTCGAATAACTGTACTGCGCCGTACAACAGCGCTGCACAGGCACGTCCCACGAGTAAAATATTGTTCTGCAGTACATACAACATAGCTGTTCCAGTTTCCAGAGCGACCTCGTGTGGTCGACGGTCGTCGTTTCACGTTAGTTCCGAACTGTCGCCACTCGCCAGCAGTCGCGTGTTATTCGTTGTGCGTTTGTCGCCATTTGGTTCAGTCGAACGTCTTCGTCGCGTTTGCTATCACACGCCCGGAAATTAATTACTCCTTATTCAAATTGCTTGGTTTTTTTTTTTGCCGTTTATATTCGCCGGTGTATACGCCTGTGCAAAATATTCCGTGTAGTTGTGCATAAGAAAAAAAACAACTACGTATCATTGTAATTTTAAATAAAAAATATTCGTCCATAATCCTGACCGTAATGGGCCGTTCGCACAGTAGTTAACGTCGGTGACATAATATATTGATTGCTGTGTCTTGGTGTTTGATATCTGCACTTGTGCCAATCGATAATCAAACGCGACTCGCGACGATGGCTGTGTTCAGCCGGACAAGTACTTTAGCGTTTATTTTGTTTATTGTGTTGTGCGACGGATCAAAAGTATTAGCATCGCATAGTAGTCACGGCACTTTATCCGTGAGTTGGATGGAAGTTGTCAACTATACAAAGTTTACCAAAGACGATTCCAACGATTTGTACGTGAAATTGACTGTTGGCCTGTTTGGTCAAGGACTTGACAATAAGATACAAATTAGACCAACATCTAGAATTGCATTACGGGGTTCAGAATGTTACAAAAATCACCCGTTGAAGAATATCGATTCTGAAGATCACATTTTCAAATTGGTTAGTTAATTTTAATGTTTCGGTATTTTCTCAATCACATTAAATATGAAGCTTTATTAGGTACCTATATTCAAATGAATATAGGTATTAATATTTGTATAAATTGATTGACCATTATTCGATTTCCGACTTGAAAATTAGTTTTAAATGTTTTATTTTATAAATATTGATAATTTTTTTTTTTTAAAATAAGTATGCTTAATGAATAAAAAGGTTCGTTGGGTACTTAGTATATTATTATATTTAATTTTATTATAGGATTAGTTTTTAATCATGTACTTACAAAATTAAATACAGTTTTTTAGAACTTATTAAATATATAGGTAATTTATATTTAAGTAGTACCTAGATGAAAAATGTTAAATAAAGCATTTATGAAAATATTCTTTTCAAACATGTTTGATTCCCAAGTTTTTATTGGAATTAAATTATTTAATATAAAATCTTAATTATATAAACAGAAAATGATTTGTAATTGGGTAACCTTGAGAATTGCAGTAACAAAAATTTACTGAAATTAAATAAACTAATGTAAATTGTAATTTGTATAGAAACTTACAATTTGCATATCCTATTTACCCTATTTAGGTAAATAATAAATAATAATAAATAAATCCTATTAACTATCAACCTCGTTTTTTGTATTTTTTTTTTTTTTTATAAAGGCTTGACATTTTATTGAAACGCTACTTAATTTGATGGTACTATTAAATCTAATTTACGACCCATACTCATTTTTCAAATTTTTTGTGTGTTTTTGATTGTACATTAAGAATCTAAAAAAAAAGTCTGACCAACTTCGTTTGGAAGTTATGGGGGAAAACTTCATGAAGTTCGGGTTTTCTGTTTCACGTATTTCTTAGTAAGAATTAAATATTTTCAATTTTTTTTTTTCCAAAATCTATGATTTTAATGCTTAATCCATTGGTATAATCAAAACTTACCTATCATACTTTTATAGTTATTGTACATAAACCTTGAAACATAGCATTTTTGGAGTTAATCCAAAATGTGGTCGTTTTTATTATTATTATGATGTTTAGTTATTGATATTTTGATAATAAAGTTTTTTTTATCGAAGACAGATCTCATCTATCTGGCTTAAATTTAGAGTTACAAACGTTCAAACCCTAGTGACCACGCCAGGTCTTTAGGTGCACCCAAAATGCTTTTTTCACTTTTCCCTAATATTTACCCAACGAGGTTTTGCACAACAAATCGAGTGTTATTTTCGATTAAAACAGTCCGAGCGAGCGAGTGACCCCGCCAGGTTTCTAGGTGCGCCCAAAATGCTATTTTTCAAGGTTTATGTACATTGACTTCAAAAGTACGTATGCTAGGTAAGTTTTTATTAAACTAATGGATTAAGCATTAAAAATCACACATTTTGGGAAAAAAAAAAAATTGTAAATGTTTAATTCTCATTAAGAAATACGCGAAACGGAAAACCCGAACTTCATGAAGTTTTTATGAATTTTCATAACTTTCAAGCGAAGTTCATCCGACTTTTTTTTAGATTATTAATGTACAGTCAAAAACACGTATTTTGAAAAAAAAAACATTAAAAAATGATCTTAGGTCGTAAATTAGATTTGTTCCAATTTTATTTGTAAAAATAAAAAATTGTAAAATGATCTTTTGTTAATCTTATTAAGTGTATAATAAGTTATAATGGATACTTAATCTATATACTAATAACATTATAAAGCTGGAGAATTTGTTTGTTTGGTTGAACGCGCTAATCTCAAGAACTACTATATAACATATTAACATCACGTTGATTTTATTTGGTTTATGTTAAAAAGTAAAAGCAATTCATCACTTATCACCAGGTAAGATATTTTCTGTGTATTATTTAAGAGGACTTTATTTCAAAATACATATTAAAATTTTAATAAAAAGCGTGAAAATGGTTCAATTTTTGAAAATTTTACCATATCTAGAAAAGGCAAATATAAATTTTATGTCCAAATTTCAAGTTTCTACGAATATTTTTAACTGAATTACTACAAATAACAAAATTTAAAAATAATAAATCATTTTTTGTAAATTTCACGTTTTTCTTAATATGATGTTATATCTGCATCTACTGGCTCAGTCTAACTACCGGGTAACATGCAAAAATAATGCTTACGCAGAATAAGATTTTTGATTTTAGAGTTAAAGTAAGTGTTATGAAATGTAAAGAGAGCAATATTTTGAAGGGAATGTCAAAGGTGGTTTTTGAATTATGAACTATTAAAAAAGTTAGTTATTTAAAAAAGAAAAAGAGAAAGGTTTTTGTATTTTTTATATCGAGCTGTATACTTTGAATAATAAAAAAGACCTAAAATCCTAATACAAAATTAAGCTAGTTTTACTTATTCTGCGTAAGCATTGTTTTTGCATGTTAGCCGGTAGTTCTAAAAGTATTTTCAGGAGTAATTTCGGTTTTATGAAATATCAACATTTTGTAAATTTTTAAGTTTCGCTGCTAATAACTTTGACCATATTAATTTTCTTCTTATCAATTATAGAACGTTATTTTTTCCTTATTAGATTTTAATTATTTAGGTAGCTATCTAATTTTATGCTATTTTCTATTTAGCGGTAATTAAAATGTTAAAAAAAAAAAAAAATTAAAATTCATACAAATTGCGTTATTTACCCAAAATCATTGCTCCCGAACTGCAATTTTTTTTCGTGAAATAAGATTTTATTGTTTTGTATGTATCTCCTGTACAAATTAATTTAAAAATACGCCCACGAAAAAAAATTGTCTTGGTCGACACTACTATACATATAAGTTATACTGATGAATATTTTTAGAAAGCATAATGTTAATCAAATAAAATTTCTTATTTTTCTTTTTTTTAGATAACTACAATAACATATGTTTAATCTTTTTTAATATTTAGGAACCTACCAGAAATATTTATGAATACTAGTTCTGTGATTAAAAGAAGAAGATGTATGCTGAAGTATAATAAGGCTGCATCCCTTACAGGATCTTGGAATGAGGAAATATAATGCGAAAAAAACAATTTTTTGGTTTGGTCCATCCTAATGTATACCTACATAAACTGTTTGGGTTATAGTTGATTGGTAATTCTTGTTGAAGATTCTTCATCAAGATAATTTCTCAATTCCGAAAAAATCATGGTTATATAATATGAATATTAAGGTTAGGTTAGAATATTTATGTTGTAAAAAGCTTACATTTCTTAAAAATAAAAACTAATTTAAAAATTTGAATATTACTAGTATTACTAGGAAAGTTAAAATTTAGTGAAGAACTTTATTTAATGGTTATTTTAGATTTGGAACGTAGCGAGGAATGCATTGATTTTACAATGTTTTTTTTTAATTTTGTGAGCAAGTTTTCTACCAGAAATTTTGATCTGATGTATCAAGTGTAGCACGTTTTCTGAAAGAAAATTTTTTCTGGTTGGTACTTAAGAAAAGCCAATTTTTAATTTTCCAAGCGGATAATAATTGGGAAAAAACGTAGGAAAAATCGGAAAATTTAAATAAATGTATAAAAGAAACTTCACTTCTA